AACTAGTCGACGCGAGTGACTCAGTTTCGTGGCTCCAAAAATATAAACATTTGATTGGTTGAAATTGTTTATTTCGGTCCGCCCATTTATCCAAATACGGAATATAAGATTACGTCATTCTTTTGGCATCCTGGCGCCTGCTTTCAGTGTTTTACAAGTTGCTTATTCCGTCTATCTCTAAATTAACTTTCTCGTTGGTGGCGCTATCCAGAATGAGAAAAATAATAACAAATAAGAGACTTGTGGCAAGTCTAACCGTCTAAGTGATAAAGCCGGCTTTATTCGAGGAGTTAAGACTACCAGTTAAGACCGTTTTATAGCAATCCGCCCCTGTATTAAAACAAACCTTTTGTTTGGTCTTCTTAATCTTTTTCTGAGCCTTTTTCCTTTCAGCATTTTTTGCAGCCTTTTCTAGTTCCATTTCTGGTGTTAGTGGACTGGGTATCTAGATAGAGGACAATACAAAAATAAATAAATTTGAAATAGTCTAGTTGTTTAATACATAAGATGTAGAGAAGCATGTGTGTTTGTACATAGGTAACAATGTAGTTCATGTAAGGTATTCATTTTACCTGGGCTTTAGCATAGTCATGTTGATCTGGGAATGCACCCATGTACCGTCTAAATTCATTTCTTGTTTCTTTGTCTTTAGAAACACAAAATGGTGGGAGTCCTTTGCTATTTCTATTAGAGAAAGACAATACAAAAAAAAACAACAATTAAAATCTTTGTAAATAAAGTAAGGCAAAATATTTCTTCTAACACTCACCTAAAGATTTCATATTTATTCCAATTTCATTCACAAATGAATTATAATAACAATGAGGATGATTATGACAATGATGACATTTAACGATTTTGCCACTGTGTATGCAGCCGATATCAATTATCTGCCTCTGGTATATCCAGGCTCCATTTTAATTAGAAATAATTAATACTCCAATTATTTTCTTTAAAGAGAATAAATTAAAATTAATTTACCTCAGTGTTGGGTCAGCACCTGCTTCTAACAGAGTGCGGACAATTGACATTTGACCTGTTTCTGCAGCTACATGAAGTAAGGTAATATTGCTTGCATCTAAAGCCTCATTAATTATCTTTACTGTGTCTACATTAACTGGGGCATCATCTGACTGTGTATTTGATTTTGGTTGGTCATTATTAGAATTTTGAGTAGACAGCAGATCTTTCAAAACACAAGTATTTCCAGTTTTACATGCTGTGTAAGCATCATACTGTAGGATCTTCAGAGAGGGATCTGTAAAGATAGAAGACAGCAGAGTTAATGTATTTCCAATAGTCATTCAGTTATCTGGGGAAATTTATATATAACATTTAATATTAGATATGATAAAATTAAACACAGTAGTTTAGTATGGGAAACAAACTGTATTGTTGGTTTTGGGTATCAAACACAATGCCTTAAGATTACAATTCTGTTACTCTTCCAATGGAGCTAGGAGACTGAATTTAACTGATTTTGACCAAGACAAAATACAACTCTATCTTGGTCAAATTGAATAGCTGTTCAAACTTGCATTTAAATACACAGTAGGTTTTTATGTTAGAGTGATCGTATATGCACAAAATCAAACTAAACATGGATACATTCAGTGGAAAGAACATGCTCAGGTAGACTGCATTAACTGTCGGAATAAGAACATTCCATAGGGAACTGATAAGTTTTCCCATTGTTTATGATTGACCAGGAAAAGCACTTCATAACCTAAAAGGGATAGGTCTCAATTACATAAATGACCATAAAATAATAAATACTAATAATAATGTAAATGTACCTTTATTTTCTTGCTTATTTTCCTCGTCTTTCACTTTCGGTTTTCTTTTCCTCCTTTTTTTTTTGGAAATATCAAACTCCTTAAGGTGGTCAGTTGATGTTGTTACTTCCTCAAAGACTAGTTCTATATTTGCACATCCATCATCTGATTCTAAATCTACAATGAAAATAACAATAACAACACATTTTTTTCAAACAAGATTGCAATGATGATAAAAATGATAAATGTGAAGATTATATTAAAACAATGAGTGCATGTACATATTAGCTATCAAAAATAACATTAAATCAGGATTGAGGAGAAGAAAGATGAATTATACATCACTGGTTTACCTGCAAGAGTCTTAGCTTCCTGTGGTACAGGTTCTTGACACTTCCTTCTTTGTATTTCATCATCTACTCTTTCACTGTCAACTGCATCAGGAGATGCTTCTTCTGTAAGGTTCTTCCCTACAAAATCTTCAGTTCTCGTTGGTGACTTTCTCATTAGACTGTTTATATCAGTTCCAGGTTCTGTGAAAATCAGAATATAATCCTGGCTATCAACACGTTTGCTGCCAGCAACTTGTTCCCCATGGTAGTGCTGATGGCGCCAGGGACGGCTATACTCTACAAAACCGGGGTAACATTCTAGCGTTTATTACCTCATTGTTATACATTGTAGAACCACAGACTTAACAGCTGATAGTTTGGGGAAGATACACCTAGACCATAACATACAAATAACGTATGTATGTTTGTTGTGTTATGTTGCTGGCCAAAAGATTACGCGAAGTCCAAAAGATGACGCGAATGAGGGCACCCTCTGAACATATACCGACCCATGCAAAAAGCGGATGACAAAACTCACACTTGAAGAGGCCATAGAAAGTACTATCCCATTGCCAGTGACGAATTTACTCGTTCCATAATATTAGACACACCATTTTGATATGTGACTTGATAAGGTTTCAAGAAAGTATTTTGTACATGTGCACTTGTTTTGGCATACATACCTTACCTGAAATGTAAATAAATAATCTCATGTGGATTTTGCTTACCATAAATTTGCACTGTACTAAGAATCTCCTGAACACGCTTCAGTTCCCTGAACGTTGGTCTTCGTGTGGCAAAAGGGATGTTAACAACCCGGAGGTCATTCTTATCAAAAACAGCATTTTTCCCTCCTATGAAAATCGTACGATTGTGGCTGGGTGCACGTAGGAACACATGTGTGCAAGCGTTGATGTGTTCCTCCCATGATTTTAACACCTGGTGAATATCATCAATCAATGCTGCTTCATTATAACGTCTTAAATTAGCACCGACTGACCTGAAAAAAATAGCAATACCTATTTCAGATTTTCTGTTTCATACAATCTATTTTTAATCTGGTCTAAATGAATTTTTCATTTTTAACAGTGGCAGATCCAGGAATTCAAAACAGAGGGGGCCCCACCAGGTAGGGACTTTCACAGATGGAGAATCTAGACCACCTTAGCCTCACCATGGTTGGGGCTGAGGTAAAGCATATTTATGATTGTGGCACCTCTAGTTGGCCGGAAATGGCACTCTGACACGTAATCTTGATTATAATTTTCCTTTTTTGTTCACGTTTTCTTATAATTTTGACAAATTTGGGAGGAGGTGGGGCCCTCTAGAATTTGCCACTGTCTATTATGTAGTGGTTTACTTTGAATAATGTGTTAGGTTAAAATATACATACTTTGAGATTTTTCCCGCCTGTTTATCATGGAGTCCCTGAGATGTGCCTCGCTTGGCTCTCACAGTATACCTATGGAATGTCTTGTGCACCACTACAGTTTCACTAATGATTCAAAATCAAAGGATGTTAACATGATGATACCGTTACTGCATCTGTTAATATTTACATTGTACAGTCATTTAACATTTCTAAATTTTTACTTTAACATAGAACACAAGCAATTATTTTAAAAAAAAAAAGCTTCTAGAAAATAACTCATGTTAAATATAGGTTTTAAATATATACATATATTTATGTCTTGAATAGAATCACAATACATTAAAACCTAAGATATAGTTTCAATCAGTGAATTATTATTTCTTGAGAATACACAATACATTTAAGTATTTACCCATGAAACACTGCTCCAGCAAAATGGCCACCTCCAGCCATTAAAATCAACCATTGCAGACGTTCAGGCAAACTTTTTGCCAACGACGAAAGCTCGGAATCCTGACTCGGAATATTCTATTGGGGAAAAAAAAAATTAATAAATAAAAAAAACAAAAACTAAAACACTTCACAGTTTATTTCCAGGCCTCTAGAAAACAAAAATGTTCGGACCTCCTTGGGTATTGTCTTTCAATTTCCCCCCATCTCATTCAGACATCTCTGGATCCACCCGTGAGAATTATTATTAACAATACAAAGAAATATTATTTTGACCTAACCTTCTTTCCATGTAACAGGCACCGGTGAACAGAGATCACATGACCACTGGCATTCCTGAAATGCACTTTCGGCTGTCTTCTGTGATTAGGTGATGCTTCATCATCGCTTTCTGTCTCACTTTGTCTACCTGCATGACTTCTTGCATGAGGAAATGAAATCTTCTTGAATGATGTTGGTGATAGATCATCTTCTTTCACATCACTCTCTGACGTGCTGCTTTCAGATCCCGAGATACTGGAAACATTATCTGAAAATTGATATAATAAAGTAGAAAATCATCATATACATCATCAGTCTTCTTGTCATTATTATTTTCATGTCATTAAATAATAAACACATTACCTGTTATTTTCTCAAAATCTTCTTCCAATATGGGTTGCTTCCCCATGATCCTTTGCTTTAAGTTAAACCTGTGCCAATCTAATTTATAGTGGTCTTTCTGCAAAAAGAAAAAGTAAATCAAATAGATGTTAAATTTTAAGTAGTTGGTAAAGAAGCTATTATCAAACCGAACACAGTCAATTAAAATTACAATTAGTCAATTTAAATTATGTACAATACTCATGAAAATGCAAAACATTATAATTATCATAATTACTACTATGATAATTAATATTATACAGTAAAATCATTACTATTACTAAAATATAGTTTTCAGTAAAATATTAGACACATAGATGTTCATACCTGTTGTAATCTGTTCTCAAAAGGACATGAGCAGAAAGAGCAAAACATTTTGTCTGAAGTTGCAAGTGCAAAACGTTCTGGAAAGTAAACATGTATTGAAAACTTTTTAGAAATATGAATGTCTAGCTGTGAGGTTACAAATATGATAGCACTATCTGATTTAAGTGATGTAATACCATAATGCATCAGTGAACCTTAAAATAACTAAACCATGCGTTGAACAAATTCAAGTAAGTGTGGTGGGTAAATATTGATCATTGGAAAAGAAAATTAAGAAAAGGAATTATTATGGCGCTTTCAGGGAGAAAGCAAACGTAAAATAAGATGGTCAATAGATGTAATCAAAAAGTTTACTATCACGGTGGTGGTGTAGCATTTTTTACGGATAATTGTACACTTCATAATATCATATATTTAATACTATTATCAAAGCAGATATATACAATACTTACAGAGAAACAATCAAATCAAAATATGAATATTTATTATTTTTTATTCATTCAAAGACCAACAGATACACGGAACACTGCCACTAACAGGTTTTATAAATAATATATGAAATATAAACACTGTATACAAAAATATATCATATCAACAATAAACATAATAACACACCCACAAAAAGCAATCATTCCACTACGAAATAAATGTATAATAATATAAATTTTAATTTAAAATTAAACACATTAATAACAATTATACAAAAATTATATAGTAATAATTGTTATACAGTACTTTTTAGTGACAATTTTTTGATGTTATATTATTTATAAATTAGTTGGTAATTAAGAGTGTATTTTTATAAATGTTGCATATACTGTACATGATTTTGTTCAACATTCAAAGCCTTAGGCTGCTTGTTATAAATAATTGATTCTGAATATTCGTAGAATCACCTTTATATAAACTTACCTGGGAGTTGTGTAACCTGGTGCTCTTCAACATCATGTCCTTCATTTTCTGCAAGTTGTAATCCACCAAACAACTTCACAATTTCTAGTTTGTTAGATAAACTCACAAATTGTCTTTGTTCTCCATCTTTCACTCCTTTCCTATTTTGTTTCCTTCTACTGGTTGGTTGTTTTGTATTCATTTTGCAATCAACATCATCAGGATCTTTTGGAGGACACATTTTATTGATGATCTCCATTGGTGATGTAGATATTGTGTCAGGAGGTATGTATGAAGTCTGCATGTTGTAGGCCTACATTTTATAAAATTACAGAGAGTATTTGTCTGAGTAACAAGTTCCAATTATGACCAATGCATTCTAAATATATTTTAAATGAAATACTGTAACAAAGTTATTATTAATGAATAATATTAATAAATACTAATAATTTATAAATTACAAAAAAGATTTGCCAGAGGCACATAATCAGCAATACAGTAGGCATGATTACTGTAGGTCTCCCTATTGTATTGTAGGCCCTAGGCCTCTTCCCCACACCCCCACCCCCCACCACCGGAATTTCATTAAGGGGGTAGGACCTATGCATAGCCTATTTGATTGACAGATTTAAATTTTCAACTACATTCAGCAAAATCTAAGATGTCAAAAAATGGCAAAGGATTTTAAGTCGGCAAGGTGGTATTCAGCAAACTATGGTCTGTTATGGGGTGTCTGTAAAACGAAGACTGAAGACCAATATTTTTTCTTTTTATTTTGATAATACGCCAGGCTGTCACAAAATCAAAATTAATACGACATTTTTTGGGCGTCTGTTTGTGAAATTTTCAAGCAAGAATCTTTGTTTCATATTAGGCCTAGGCCTATATGCCTAGCCCTAGCTAGACACCCTATAGGCTATATCATGGGTGTCTACAAAACGAAGACCAGAAAAACGAAGACCTCCAATTATTTCTCAATTATCTCATTGAAAGTATTGACTCCCGTCTGTTCTGCAAAATTCAGCAGCCTCCATTCGGCAATCTGGCGTAGGCCTAGGCTAGCCCGGATCTCTCTCTCTCAGGCCTCCGTCGAAGCAAAGTTCTGGACTCGGCCACTCCAAGTACCCAGCCTTAACGCTACGCTAGAGGCCAACTAACTAGCTAGGGCCTACACGGCTGTTTCATTAACAATGGAAATTTACCTTTTACTTTAAGTTTCAGAGTTCTCTGTATGGTTGTGAACAGGGTTGTGAACAAGATCCAAACGCATATGTTTCTAGACGAATCATTATATTTATATAATAATAGTCATGCTACTTTTATTAAGCAATACTTGTGCAATCACGATTGTCCTAGCTTGGTTTATGTTGTTCATGCAATCAATCTAGAGGGAAGCAAACAAGCCACACGAGTGCACTCACACTACTGCAGTGTACTGAGCAGAGTGATGATGATGATGATGATGATGATGATGATGATGATGATGATGATGATGATGATGATGATAATTCAGATTCAGATTCAGATTTTTTTTTATTTTACAAAATATGATATAGTCTTCAGATAGTTTAACAGGTTACTCGATGTTTGTTACAATAATGTTCGATGAAACATTACCAATTTGATGAAGATGATGATGATGATAATGAAGACAATAACGACGACGATACTTCATTCGTTTATTGTTTATTCTTTATTCATCCAAACAAATAACAATGAAAGAACAAGAGAAAGCTCAAACAAATTGTACAAGCAACAGATTATGAATATAGTATTACCATGATGTATTACCAAAGTACTAGGACTAATAATGGTGGTTAACACCTAGTTCAAAAGTCCCGAGGATGATGATAATGATGATAATAATAATAATAATAATAATAATAATAATAATAATAATAATAATAATAATAATAATAATAATAAAAATAATAATAATAATAATAATAATAATAATAATAATAATAACAGCAACAAGAGCACTCAGTAGAGAGCATAATCTCTGCCCATCGCAAATCCCTTTCTACAAAATAAATAATAGGCC